TGAAGTCTGCTAATGAGCCTATTCTACACAGCTGAGTCACTTCATTCATTAAGACAAAACTGGCATTGCATTGCCCACTGCCTCTATTCCACTTTTAATGATGCTAATACAGAATGATAAAATATTTTGCATTTCCTTCCCAAGCCAAATCTCTATTTATTTTACAGGGCTGTAATATAGATAATAGAAATATCTATTTAAGTTTCAGGTTTTTCTTTTAATCAGTAAGGCTAATTAAACTAGCACAGAACTTCTGGCCCATAAATATTTAAGATTTCTCACCTCTTTGGCTCTGTGTCAATTGCACATTTGTGTAAACTGTTTTTGCAGCATTACAACAGGAAAGGGCATTTAATATTTAATGCCAATTAGAAAGAGATGATTTGAGCAAAAGTAATTAAAGCCGCTATGTTGCGCGGTTTGCTGTAAAAGGTGGGTTTATGCGAATACAGAGACAAAATATTAGTTAATAAATGAGCAAATATAGCACAATTCTCCAAGTGCTAAACATAAATGATTTGGAATGTTTAGGTCTGCTTGAATCGGCCTGTTTTTTTTTAAATATTTTTGTTATTTTCTTCACAGAAGAAAATCGACTTCCAGCTAAAACAGAGTTTTGAAGAAGTATTGAGAATGATGCTCTGATGCCCTCTTGTGTTTGGATGGAAACTTTCATTCTGAAGCGACTGGACCGACATACCCATTATTCGGTTCTTTTAATCACTTCGCTGGAAAGAACCGGTTCCTGACACGACGTGATATTTTACGTGTTAAGAAACCATATGCTTGCACAATTTTTAACGTGAATGTTTGAATTTGATTCAGCTTTTAAAAATATGTAATCCACAATTCCGTCAAAAACAATATCAAGTTACCTATTTCCCGAACCTTCTAAAATAATCATATTTATTCTAAATGTATTTGACGTATGAATTGCTCTCCTACATCTCTTTGCACGTGACACCTTTACTAAAGGGCGCGCAAAATGAACACGTGCTGAGTATATGGTTTGCATGTGACAACGGATTTGAGGAGAAAAACAAAGGCCTTTCTGTGAAATTTTAACGTCCCCTAAAATAACTTTCTGCCACTATAAACTGCATACGTAACATAAACGCTGTACAAACAAGCACAAAAGCCGTTTTGTTCTCTCATTTAAAAGTGTTTTGTAGTAACTTTCAAATAACTAGTGAATGGCAGTGGACTGCTGTTTTTGCGTAACTTACCCAGGAATACCCATCGTTCAAATCCTCAAAATAATTCGTGCTAACTTTCAACTGGCGCTCGTCGGACCGAACTTTGTTTTCTTAGTTCAGTGAGTTGATGACTCAAGATCCGGTAGGACCGATTCTGATTCTTGTAGCTACAAATCGTTCGGAGGTTTAACCGATTGCTTGAACGCTTTACCGTTACCGATTGATTGAGGACAATATGACAAACCGCCGATGAATGTGATCAGTAAATATTTACTAAAATAAAACAGGAAAGCTCTGGAATTGTCGCACGATTGTTTTTGTTTTTATTTCCACAGTGAAATAAATAGGCTAATATTGTGCAGGGATTTATATTCTTCTATAATAATAATAATATATTGTTATTATTGTTGTTGTTGTTACTGCGATTTTCAAATCAAAGCAGCGAAATTTGACAAAAACAGAGTAATTGCATTACTTGGTTGGAGGCAATTGTTGCCAATTTAGCAATTTTGTTGCTAAATTTAGCAACTTCAGACTACCCTAGCAACCTTTTCTTCCAAAAGCACCTAGAAACAAATTTAGCTGTTTTTAACATTTATTTGGCAACTTTTAGCAACTTTTGATATGTGACACTCAAACGATAAAACGACGTTTTCCAGCTAAATTACACAAAAAAGAGGAAACCAAAGATGCTTAGCAGTACACACACCACATGAATTAATTTAGCTGCTGTTTTCAGTTGTTCAATTTAATAATAATAATCATTGAATCATTGTTCATTTATGATAAACCTTGTTAGTAGCTTGTACCTGTGATTGTTGATCAGTTTGTACACTGTTAGAAAAATAGCTAGAAAAATGGAAAAGGTACTAGTAATTTTCCAGGACATATCTGTTATCCATTATCCGTTGTAACCCGAAAACACAAAATACAATGCGAAATTTAAAATGCAGGTAAAAAAAAAACCTGTGTAAAATCAATACAGAAAATTCCGTCATATTAACATAGTAAGATTGTGCCCTGTTTTTACAGACTCCTCTTAAGAGTGTAGCATACTAACTAACTGCTAATACACTGCTTAAAATTATAATTGTTCAGAATGTATAGTCTAGCAACTTTTTCTTCCAAAAGCACCTAGCAACAAATTTAGCCATTTTTAAAATTTATTTGGCAACTTTTTGCAACTTTTGATAAGTGACTCAAACGATAAAACGACATTTTCCAGCTAAATTACACAAAAACGAGGAAACCAAAGATGCTTAGCAGTACACACAACACATGAATTAATTTAGCTGCTGTTTTCAGTTGTTCAATTTAATAATAATAATCATTGAATCATTGTTCATTTATGATAAACCTTGTTAGTAGCTTGTACCTGTGATTGTTGATCAGTTTGTACACTGTTAGAAAAATAGCTAGAAAAATGGAAAAGGTACTAGTAATTTTCCAGGACATATCTGTTATCCATTATACGTTGTAACCCTGTAACCCGAAAATACAAAATACAATGCGCAATTTAAAATGCAGGTAAAAAAAACCCTGTGTAAAATCAAAAAAATTCCGTCATATTAACATAGTAAGATTGTGCCCTGTTTTTACAGACTCCTCTTAAGAGTGTAGCATACTAACTAACTGCTAATACACTGCTTAAAATTATAATTGTTCAGAATGTATAGTTTTACTAGTTTACTAGCTAATAAAAAATCTTAATATATATTCAATAATTCAATGTTGTATTTAGAAATACAGTTATTTACATTGTAATATTATATTATGCATTTACATTATTTTATTAACAAATCTAAATAAAAAATATTTTTTTGGTTGAGATTTGATGCAGTGACACAATTTAGCGTCATGATTACGGAATGACGTCATCACATGATGACATCAAAATGTCATTTAGCAACTTTTAGCAACAAATCAACCTTCCTTTAGCAACTTCCCCTGAAAATTAGTTGGCAACACTGGTTGGAGGTTGTAAACAGCCATCATAGACGTTCCTCGCATCGAGCCACCTTGTTCACCTGGGCTTCGGCGGATTTATTAAACTAAATTAACATCACATGCTAGGAGAAACTGATGGAGACACTGAACAGCAAAAACCTGTATCAACTTGTGCTAAAGTGTAACACAAATCTTTTATTCTGAAAATCACTGTATTTCTAAACGTGCTTCTCTGTTTTTCCAACTAGCATACATGCCACGGTTCGAGTCGTCACAATGGTGAATATTGGTAAGATAGATCACATTGACAGCAATAAAAAGTAAGTCAAATCTCACTGTGAATGCATATGAACACATTACAAAAGTTTTAGGTTCATATTTACGTTTATTTCATTCCAAAGCAAGACATTGCAAATTATATGTTGTTTGTGTGTGAGACAAATTCAAGCAATACTTTGAAAACAATATGTTGTGTGTATGTGTGTGTGCATACACGAGTTTGGGATATACTTATTAAATTAGAATAGAATTGTTTTGGAACTCATGGTTGTTTGATCCTCTTAATGGACCTGTTGGTGTTATCATCTAAAAATCCATTGCATCATTTTTAAACTGGGTTAAAATTCACAAAGCTCTCCTTGTGTTAAGTTGGTAATTAAATGGCCTCTGTAATTATCCTACCAGTGTAGTTCACTCTTTGGCACACTGTGGATCCTTGTGAAATCCATCGCTCACAGCAGCTTCTGTGTATCCGTGTTATAAAGGGCACATCTGCAACACTCCCATCATGCCGAGCTGCAAGAATGTGAATGCAACAAACACGACCACGAGCACTCATGCTGGTGCAGTCGTAAGATTAGGATATCCATCCTCTCACATTCATCTGCACTCTTCTCTTCCCCAAAGGAATGTGCAGATATTACCTTGAACATTACAGGTGAGCTTTGCTTTTCACAGATAACTGTGCAGAAATTTCCAACGTTGCCAATTAACAGTGCACAACACTTCAGTTCCTTCTGGAAAGATTTAGGATTAAGTGTAAGAACCCAAACACAAAATAATTATATCAAGTTGTCATGAGAAATCACAACCGATTTCAGGATCATTTGACCCAGAGTGTTTTACTGACACATTAGTGAAAACAGAAGATGCATACACACATGTACCACACACATTATGCTAATGAGTTATTTAAGGAGTTAATTGCATAGATGTACTGTATGTAATAATGAAAGATTCATTCTGGCTTATGCAAGCATCTGTGTTGAGTTTTGAAAAAGCAAAACTGATTTATTGGATTATATAAACTGTGATAAACATTAAACATTTGGTACTATGCAAATAATCTGTAATTATATTACTAAATAGTTATGTTATCCAGTATTTTTTTTTGTTTGTTTTTGTAGACACCCTTGAACATTACAGGTGAGCTTTGCTTTTCACAGATAACTGTGCAGAAATTTCCAACGTTGCCAATTAACAGTGCACAACACTTCAGTTCCTTCTGGAAAGATTTAGGATTAAGTGTAAGAACCCAAACACAAAATAATTATATCAAGTTGTCATGAGAAATCAAAACCGATAATTTCAGGATCATTTGACCCAGAGTGTTTTACTGACACATTAGTGAAAACAGAAGATGCATACACACATGTACCACACACATTATGCTAATGAGTTATTTAAGGAGTTAATTGCATAGATGTACTGCATGTAATAATGAAAGATTCATTCTGGCTTATGCAAGCATCTGTGTTGAGTTTTGAAAAAGCAAAACTGATTTATTGGATTATATAAACTGTGATAAACATTTGGTACTATGCAAATAATCTGTAATTATATTACTAAATAGTTATGTTATCCAGTATTTTTTTTTGTTTGTTTTTGTAGACACTACTAAAATGTTGTGGGGGTTTTTCTCCCAAAGAATGCTACGTATAAATATATACATAAAAATACTGATAATGCATGGATTGTATTTGTTTAGGACATGCTTCTCAGTTTTTGTCAAATTCCATATGAAAATGTACTTCTAAATGAACAAGACCTGTGTTTATAAAATGTCCTCGGTGTCCTCCACAGTGTTTCTGGGACAGCAGCGACAGCAGCACCGTCTGATCCAGTGCAATAGTCGCAATCTCCGTGAAGTTGGCCCGACTACGCCCCCTCTCTGGGATTCTCCTCTCGCTCCTTCCTCCCTGTCTTCACTCAGGACATGCATAGAAATCTCCATCCTTCCACTGACACTTTCCATCTGTTCAGTCATCACTCTTTGAGCTCCTCCAAACTGCTCTCCATCTCCTTCCAGCATCAGCGTTTGCACGGCTCTGTCCGTAACCCGTCTGAATCGGTCCACTCTTACTGCTGCATCACTAATGAGGCGCTCCATAATCTCCAAGTGCTGACTACTTGTTTCTGTTTCTTCGCTCTTCAGTCGATTGATCTCAATCAGCATACACTCCCTTAACAGAAGTATTTCCTTTTCCTTTTCTATGAGCTTGAGTCTGTCAGTTTCTCTCTCATGCTGAAGGGCTTCATTATATCTTTCCATTTCAGCTTTCCGTAGCTCCAACTCGATTTTTTGTCTTTGGATTCCGAGTCTTTCCAGTTCCTTCCTCTTTATGTCTTGTAATCTGTTCTTAAGTTCATCTTTCATGTCCTGTATTCTCCTTTTCATTGCATGTATCTCTTCATACTGTGGTAGAGCATCTCTTTCCTGGTCTTCAGTTTGTGTCTCTTGAGTTCTCTTCTGCTTAACATCCTCTGTATGTTTTTGAATGGATTTTGTAATCGCTATTACTTCTTGGTCTTCTTGTTCACTCTGAATATTAGTTTCCTGTTGAGTCTTCACAGTCCTTGCCTGTCTTTGTATGTCAGTCTCAATGTGTTGCAGTTCTCTTCTTTTGCATTCATAGCTTCGTGTGAGATGCTCAATCTCCTCAGTATGTCTCAGTAGCTCAGCTTGAACCTTTTCCAGGCTGTTCCTCCTCCTCTCGAGACTCTCCATGATCACTGACTTTTCTTCTTCAGCGGTTTTACATTCATCCCTCAATTTATGCAGGTGATCCTTTGCCTTCTCCATCTCAAGAAGGCCAGTTTGTATGATCTTCATTTTGTTCTCCATTTCGTCATGTTGCCTCTGTAGTTCAGCTCTCAGGATGTTTAGCTCATCTCGTTCTAGGGTCGCGCCATCCATTAGCTGAAGAGCTTCTCTTTGGGCGTCAGTTTTGGAGGTTTTTGCTTCTGTTTCTCCATCTGTTTTGGCCCAATAAATCTCTTGTACTTGTTCCAGTGCTTTTTTGTATGTGACTTTCTCAGCATCCCTGTCACTTCTAATGGAAATATCATCTGTTTTTCCCTTGATTTTTTGTGTCTCCTGCTCATTTTGCTTTTGTTGAAGCAACTCATTTTCAATGTTTTCCTTCTCTTCTTTCAGTGACGCTATGGTCTTTTCCAGTTGTCCCAACTTTCTCATGAATGTTTCTGTGATGCTCTCTATTTCCTTATTTTTCTTATCAAGGTTGTTTGATAAATCCTCCTTGTCTTGTGTAAGTCGTAGCAGTTTTTCTTCATTTCTTGACTTCTGCTTCATGACTTCCTTCATATTTCTCTCAAAGTCTTCCCTCTGCCTTTGGATGTCAGCTTTTGCTTGTTCCAGTTCATGTCTCTCTTTTTTCATCATTGTCTTCATTCTCTCCAAATCTTCAATTTCTTTGTTTAAAGAGTCCGTTATTTCTCGCACTTCAGATGCGTGCTTGTCTTTTGACTTTGTCACAGTGGGTTGTTTTTTCTTTGTTGCCGTTGTTTCGTCTTCTAATTCCTTCTGTCTGCTATCATCTGTTTTCTTAAAGTCATCCAAAGATGTTTGTGTTTCAGCATCGACTGAGGTGGTCTTCATTTGATATATCTCAAGTTCATCTGTTTTTTGTTTCTGTACTTCTACTTCCTCTCTTAGAACATCAGCATCCCTCTTTGAATGATCTTTTGTTTTAATCTCTTCTGGTAAGCGATGCATTTCTGCTTCCTGTCTCTTTATTTGAATCTCCATGTTTACCATCTCTAATTCAGATAATTGTCTGTTTATTTGCTCTTGCAGTTCCTCCATTGTTCTTGTCTTTTCATCTATAACGCCTTCCATGTCCTCTTTTTCTTTCTGTATCATGTCTTTATCTTGTTGCAGCAAAGTTCTCTCATGTTGTACGCTTTGTTTGCTGACTTCAGCCTCTTTCTTCAGTCTGTTTAAATCAGCTCTCTCCTTTTCGATACGATATTTTTCACTCTCAGTTATCTTTTTGCTGTTTTCAATCTCCTTTTTGTCCCTTTGAATATCATTATTAAGCTTTTCAAGCTCTTCTTGTTTTGTCTGCATATTTTTATTGAGGATATGTCTGTGTTCATCAATTTCAGACTTCTCTTTCTCAAGCACATCTCTCTCTCGTTTGATGACTGTCATGATGTCTTCTAATTCCTGCTGCTGATGATCTAATGTGAGCTTTTTCTTTTCGATCAGATTTTTTCCCACCTCAATTGTGTTCCTCAGTTCTTCTAGTTCATCCATCTGTTTCTGGAGATCAGCCAGCAATTCAGCATCTGTCTTTTCTTTTTCAGTGTCCTCCCTGACCATTTGTAAAGCAGCTTGGATCTGTTTTTCACTCTCCACTGCTGTTTTTACATCTTTCTTCTTTATTTTGGTCTCGGCTCGCTGATCAGTTTCTGTCAGTAAATCTGCTCTTTTCTGCTTTAAATTTTCCATCTCTTTTTCAAACTGATCTCTGTTTTCTGCCATTTCTTGGTTGGAATTTTCAATCTCAGAATTTAAGCTTTGCAGTTCATCTTTCTTACTCTGGATTTCTTTCTTCAAAGCATCAGTATCCTCTCTTTCCTTTCCAAGAGGTTCCTTTCCCCTCTTTGTATCTGCTGTGATTTTCTCAAGCTCATCGGTCTGTTGCTCTGCATCCACTTTGATTTGATCAGAAACATTCTTCTGATCTTCAAATGTTTTGATGTTTTGTTGTAGTTGTCGTCTCTCTTGTTCCAGATGAGTTTTCATGCTCTCCAAATCATTTCTCATTTTTCTGTTTTCATTCATCAAGTCATTAACCTCCTGCTGCTGTTGATTCATAACATTGTGCTTCTTTTCCAGCTGCATTTTCTCAGCCATCAAAATGTTTCTTAGGTTATCTACATCTTTTCTTTGCATGTCAAGTTCTCTTTCTTTGTTTTCCAGATCCTCTTCTTTAAGTCTTTTTTCATTATGTGTGCTTTCCACTGTGTCTCTTAGCTGTGTTATATCAATAATCTTCTGCTCCAAGGCCAGCCTCTCTTTGAGCAGTTCTTGCATTGTCAAGTCATTCTTTTCTTTTTGCTCTTCAAAATCTTCTCTTAGAGTCTCATTCTCTGCTTTGCTCTTTTCTAAGTTCTCTTTTTGTGTCTGAAGTAGCAGTAGATCTGATTGCAGAAGATTTGTCTGCCTTTCAATGTCAGCACGCATAGTACTGAGCTCTTCTTCTTTTCTTCTCATGTCTTCCAGTCTCTGAATGTTCTCTTGGTCTTTACTGATTTGAGAGGTGATTTTGTCTGTTTTCCTGATTTCCTCATTAAGCTTTTCAGACTTTCTTTGTAAATCTGCCTTGATCTCCTCCAGTGAGTCTTTTTCTTTTTTAATATTTAGTTTGTCCATGTTCATTTGCACAATGTTGCTGTCCAGTTGAGATCTTTTATTTTCAGTTTCGTTCATCAACTGCTTCAGCATTTTCTTTTCCTCTTCAATTATCTTCTTCTCCAACTGTAACTCGGTTTTTAATTGATCCGTTTCATGTTTTTCTGTTAACAGTCTGTCCAGCATGTCTTTCTTCTCTTCCTCAGATTTATTTCTAAGTTGCTCTAGGTCTTCCAACTCACTCTTGATGGTTTTCAGAATGTTTTCCATCTCTTGTTTTTCTTGTTTTACTTCTGCTTTCTCTTTGTCAAGTTCACTTTTCTCTCTTTGTAAGATGTTCCTTAGCTCTTCTACTTTGGTTTTCTGTTTCTGTATATCTGCTTCCCAGAGAGTTACTTTCTCTCTCTTATTTTCCATTTCAGTGGTTTTCCTTGCTAGCTCAGCATTAATTTTCTCCAAAGCCTTTCTTTCTCTTTGCATGATGTCAATCTCCTCTTGCTGTTGTCTGATTATTTTCTCTAGCTCTTTATGTTTAGTCTGTATTTCTGCATTCATCTGTTCAAGTTGATTCCTTTCTTTTGCCAACCTCACCTTGTGATTTTCTATGTCCTCTAACTGTCTTTGTATCTCAACTTCAGCATGCTTCTCTTTTCTTTTGTTTTCTTCTGCTAGTTTATCCATATTTTCTCTTTCTTTTTGTTGTTGAATAACTAAAGCATTTAGATTTTCCCTCTCTTTTTGTAAGTCCTGCATACTTTTCTCTAGAGCATTTGTCTTGTCTTGAATCTCAGTCCTTATGTCTCCTAATATTTGTTTTTCAAGCTTGATCTCTTCTCTTTGGTCATTTAATTGGCTTTGCATCTTTTCAATATGTTCCATCTCTCTATTAATTCTCTCTTTGGTGGTTTCAACATCCTCTTTCTCTTTCAGTAATTGATCATTCAGATGTGCTATTCTTTCTCTCTCAGTTTTTAAGATTTGCATGTCCTCGTCTTCTTGTCTGGACCTTTCAGTGGCTACCTGTGTCTCAACCCACTTTATTTCTGCAGCTTTCCCAATGTCTTCCAGTTGTTGTTTTTGTTTGTTTATTTCACGCCTCTCTTGTTCTAGCTCACTCTTCTTCATTGTCACTTTGTTCATTATTTCTTCTAGGTCTTTTGTCTGCTTTTGAATTTCGTCTTTCATGTGCAGCAGCTCATCTCTTCTCATTCTTAAATCTTCATTTTCCTTTTTAATTTGTTCATGTTCTTTAGCCATCTCATCCTTAAATTTCTCCAGATTTTTCTTTTCTGCCTCTCTCTCCTCTGTTTTGAACTTCTGTAGATTTTCTAATTCCTTAAGCTTAATATTCAGTTCACTCACCATATCCTGTAATCTAGTTTCTGCTTTTCTCTTTTCTTTTACTAGAAGCTGACAAGTGCTTTTCAGTTCTGATTTTTCCCTGTTTAAATTGTCATTCATCTGTTCCAGGTCATTCTTCTTTCTCTTGGTTTCATTGAGGATTGCTTCAATCTGCATAATTTCATCTTGTAAGTTCTTATCACTGTCTGTGTCCCTTATATCTGCAGCAATTTGCTGCATTTCAACTTTCTTCTTTTCCAGCTCGCCCTTCTCTCTTTTTATAATGTCCATCAGGTTTTCAATTTCTCTCTGCTCATTCTGGAGGTCAGCTTTCATCCTTTCTATTTCTTCTTTCTCTTCTTTCAACGTGTGCATAACACTGTGTGCTTCATCATATTGCACTTCTGCATTGGTTTTCTGTGGTTCTTCTTTCTGCAAATCTGTTTTTATTTGCTCCAGTTCATGTTTTTCTCTCTCACATTCCTTTCGTATCTTCTGAATTTCTTCTTTTTCATTGTCAATTTCAGTCTTAATTTTTTCAGATTCTGCACTCCTTTGATGAAGCTCTTTTTGTCTCAGTTCTTCAATGTGGTCCATTTCTTCTTGCTTTGTTTTAATTTCCACCTCAATCTGTTTAATTTTGTTTATCCATTTATTTGCCTCAGTCATAATCATTTTAAACTCTTCCTGTTCTTTGACAAGTTGAGCTGCCATTTCTTCTACCCTTTCCTTTTCTTTCAGTACATCATCCAAAAGTCTCTCTGTGTCCTCTGCTCTCCTTAACCTTGATTCCAGCTTGTCTCTTTCTGTCTCTATGTTTTGTTGCATAAGCCTAAACTCCTCTTTTTGTGTCTCCAGATCGACTCTCATTCTATTCAGTTCATTTCTTTCTGAGTTCAGCATTGCCTGACGCATCTCCATTTCCATTTGCTCCTTCTGCAGCCCAGTGAGTATTTTTTCAACTTCACCCCTCTCCTTCCGTAATGCCTCCTTTTGGTTCTGTATTTCCTCCAGGTGTCTTTTTATAGACTCATCTCTCTTTGGAAGTATGTCAGTTAACTCATGTTCCTCCATTTCTTTGGTGTCCACCATCTCTTGTCTCTTTCTTTTTATCTCTGTATTTATGAAGTCCAACTCCTCTTGTCTCTGGTTCATCTCAACAGAGATGGTTTCCATTTCTCTCTTCTTTTCTTGAAGTTGAACTTCCATGTTTTCTATTTTCTCCTGCTTGCTCTTGATCTCCATTAGAATTTTTTCCATGTCCATCTTAATTTTATCTTGAGTCATGTCTAACTCAGATCTTTCATTTTCCATATTCTGTCTGCATAACTCCATCTCTTCATATTGTTTTTCAAGAGCGGCTTTATATTTCTCCAGATTCTTCTTCTCTCTGTCAGTGTGTTGTCTCATTGTCTCAGTCTCTTTCTGGTCTCTCTGTAAAACAAATCTTGTCTTTTCTAGTTCCCTCTTCTCAGTCATCAACGTTTCAGTAAGGCCATCGGCTTCATCTTTATTGAACTCCAACTTTACTGCCATGGATGGATCAGGTATATCTTTATATTCTGTTGTCAGTGCATTGTCTTCTTGGCTTGAGTCCATTTCAGTTTCTTCACTTCTCATTTTGAGCTCTGTGTCCTCCTGATCTCTCATTCTCTCTAATTCATCTTCCGTCCCTTTTGTTATGAAAGTTGTATATTCCTTATGAATGCCTGTGTGTTCCTCAACAATCTGTTCCCGAGTGGCTGAAATGTCACCCACAGGTATGTCTTCTAGTTTAGATGTTTGTGTAGCAGAACTAACCAAAATTAATTGCAGCCTCTGTGTTGGTTGTTTTCTCTTCATCTCGTCCAGTGCCTCTCTCTGATGTTCAAGGATTTTTTTGTTTCTTTCAAGTGCTTCCCTTTCCCTTTGAATCTCAGACAAGAGTCTATTGACTTCATCTATCTGTATTTGTTTTCCTTGAGAGGCCATTTCTTCTCTCTTCTGTTGAAGAAGCTGTCCAGATTGACGTTCTTCTTTTAATGTTTCAGACAAATCTTTCTCTTTTTCTAACTGGTGTGTCTGCTCTTTCATGATCTCGGTTTCATCAGTCTGTCTCTTGATTTCAGCCTTGGACTGTTCCAGATCTTGCCTCTCATATTGCACTATTTGCAATTCCAGTTTGATTTGCTCCTCTTGAGCATTGAGTTTGGCTTTTGTTTGCTCCATTTCCTTCTTTAGATGGTCTATCATATCCTTGCTCCTATCAGTTTCTTTTTGTTCTGTCAATATCTTGGCCATCAGTTGATCAAGTTCCTCTCTCTCCATCTTTGTTTTTACTCTCATCTCTTCTTCCATTTGTTGTCTGTATTTTTCAAAATCATTCCTCATGTTCTCCAGATCTCTCCTCTCCTCATTCACAGCTCTTATACTCTTCTCCAGTCTTTGCTGCTGTTGATTAATTTCAGTCTTTAAGTCATTTTTGATTTCTTCAATTTCATCTCTTTGTTTTTGTAATGTCTTCTGAAGAACATCCAGCTCATTCCACTTCTTCGTCGTGTCGTCTTTTTCTTTCTCTAATTCATTTCTCTGTCTCAGGATTTCACCAGCCTTGTGCTCAAGAAGCTTCTTCTCTTCATCCATTGATCTTTTACTCATCTCTTCATTTTCTTTTTGTTCTGTCATGTGCGTCAGGTCATCAGCTTGTCTTTGCAAATCTTCTCTTTCCTTTTCAATGTTATTTCTATCTTTTTCCAGAAGATCTTTGTCTGTCTCAAACTTTTGATTTTGTTGTGATATATCAAACATGATTTTCTCTAGTTCACCCCTTCTCCTGTTTGTTTCTTCTATGACACTTTCATATTCCTTGTTAGCCTGTTTAAGTTTTTCTTCCATTTCTGTTTTTTCATCTTTCTTTCTGGTCTCCTCCAGAGCATTCCTAATAGACTCAGTCTTTGACCGCTCATATTCATCAATTCTCTGTTGTAATTCTCTCCATTTATAATTTATTTCATCTTTTTCTTGCTCTAGAAGCTCTCTGTATTTTCTCAGCTCTAGTTTTTGTTCATTTATGTTTGCGCTCATAATTTCCAGATCTCCTTTTCGTCTGTTTGTTTCTTCAGTGACACTCTCAATTTCTTCCTTTTCATTTTGTAGATGTGCTTCCTTTTCTTTCAGTGTTTCTCTCTCCTTATTAATTTCCTCTTCCATGTATCTTATTCGTTCACTTTCTTTTTGCAGTTCAGTCTTTGTTTGAGCCAGAAAATCTTTTTCATCATTGATATTTTGTCTCTCAAGTTCTAATTCTTCTTCGTGAAGTTTAATATAATTTATCTGTTCTTCCTCCTCATCCAATAATTTCTGTACAATTTCTTTGCTTTTCTCAATATTAGATTTTTCTAGATCAGTCTGTTTTATTTTGTTGTCTAGCTCTGATCTCTCTTCTTCTATTTGCTTTCTTTGTAACATTATTTCAGACCTCATCTTCTCCAGGTCATTTCTTTCCTGTTCAATTATCTTTCTGGCATCATTCATTTTCTTCTGCTCATGATCTATTTTAGTTTTCTCTCTTTTCAGTTCACTCTTCATCTGATCAAGTTCTTCTCTCTCCATCTTTTCTTTTACTCTCATTTCTTCTTCTTTCTCTTGTTCTTTCTTAATTTGTTCTTGCAGTGTGTTCAACTCTTGCATTTTTAGGCTTATGTCTTGATGTTCCTGCTCAGCTTTAGTTTTCAGCTCCAGAAGCTTGACTTTGGTCTCTTCTAGACCTTTTCTTTCTTCTTCTATTTCCTTTTGTTCTGTTAGATATTCTTCCTTCTGTTTACTGACTTGAGCATCAAATTCATCCATTTTCAGTTGTAACTGTGTCCATTTATGGTTTAATTCTTCTCTTTCTTGTTCTAGAAGGTCTCTGCAATTCTTCAGCTCTTGTTTTTGTTCAGTTATGTCTGTATTCATTTCCAGATCCTCTTTCTGTCTCTTTGTTTCTTCAGTGACACTCTCAATTTCTTCCTTTTCCTTTTGTAGATGAGCTTCCATTTCCTTCAGTGTTTCTCTCTCCTTCTTTATTTCCTCCTCCATGTATTTGATTTGTTCACTTTCTTTTTGTAGCTCTGTCTTACTTTGAGCTAGAAGATATTTTTCATCATTGATATTTTGTCTTTCAAGGTCAAGTTCTTCTTTCTGGAGTTTAATATAATTTATCTGCTCTTCTACTTTATCCATTGATTTCTGAACTATTGCTTGGTTCCTTTCAATTTCATCCTTTTCTAGATCAATCTTTTGCATTTTCTGTTCAAGTGCCGATCTCTCAAGTTTGATTGCTTCTCTCATGTCTTCCATTTTCTCTTTCTCTGTCATCATGTCAGACCTCATCTTATGCAGTTCTTTTCTTTCCTGTTCAATCGTCTTGATGTCATCATCCATTTTCTTCTGCTCATGATCTATTTCCGTTTTCTCTCTTTCCAGTTCACTCTTTATGTGATCAAGTTCTTCTCGCTCTATCTTTGCTTTTACACTCATTTCTTCATCTTTCTCTTTTTCTTTCATAATATGTTCTTGCAGTGTATTCAACTCTTGTATTTTTAGGCTTATGTCTTGATGCTCCTGCTCAGCTTTAGTCTTTAGCTCCAGGATCTTGACTTTGGTCTGTTCTAGACATTTTCTTTCATCTTCCATCTCCTCCTCTTTCATTAAATCCTTTTCCTTCTGTTGTCTGACATGAGTATCAAATTCATCAATTCTCTGCTGTAATGGTATCCATTTATTGTTTATTTCATCTTTCTCTTGCTCTAGACGCTCTCTGTATTTACTCAACTCTTGTTCTTGTTCATTTATGATTGTGCTCATCTTTTCCAGATCCTCTTTCTGTCTCTTTGTTTCTTCAGTGACAGTCTCAGTGTCTTCCTTTTGCTTTTGTAGATGAGCTTCCATTTCCTTCAGTGTTTCTCTCTCCTTCTTTATTTCCTCCTCCATGTATTTGATTTGTTCACTTTCTTTTTGTAGCTCTGTCTTACTTTGAGCTAGAATAACATTTTCATCATTGATATTTTGTCTTTCAAGGTCAAGTTCTTCTTTCTGGAGTTTAATATAATTTATCTGCTCTTCTACTTTATCCATTGATTTCTGAACTATTGCTTGGTTCCTTTCAATTTCATCCTTTTCTAGATCAATCTTTTGCATTTTCTGTTCAAGTGCCGATCTCTCAAGTTTGATTGCTTCTCTCATGTCTTCCATTTTCTCTTTCTCTGTCATCATGTCAGACCTCATCTTATGCAGTTCTTTTCTTTCCTGTTCAATCGTCTTGATGTCATCATCCATTTTCTTCTGCTCATGATCTATTTCCGTTTTCTCTCTTTCCAGTTCACTCTTTATGTGATCAAGTTCTTCTCTCTCCATCTTTTCTTTTACTCTCATTTCTTCTTCTTTCTCTTGTTCTTTCTTAATTTGTTCTTGCAGTGTGTTCAACTCTTGCATTTTTAGGCTTATGTCTTGATGTTCCTGCTCAGCTTTAGTTTTCAGCTCCAGAAGCTTGACTTTGGTCTCTTCTAGACCTCTTCTTTCTTCTTCTATTTCCTTTTGTTCTGTTAGATATTCTTCCTTCTGTTTACTGACTTGAGAATCAAATTCATCCATTTTCAGTTGTAACTGTGTCCATTTATGGTTTAATTCTTCTCTTTCTTGTTCTAGAAGGTCTCTGCAATTCTTCAGCTCTCGTTTTTGTTCAGTTATGTCTGTATTCATTTCCAGATCCTCTTTCTGTCTCTTTGTTTCTTCAGTGACACTCTCAATTTCTTCCTTTTGCTTTTGTAGATGAGCTTCCATTTCTTTCAGTGTTTCTCTCTCTTTCTTTAATTCCTCCTCCGTGTATTTGATTTGTTTGCTTTCTTTTTGCAGCTCTGTCTTACTTTGAGCTAGAATAAAATTTTCATCATTGATCTTTTGTCTTTCAAGGTCAAGTTCTTCTCTCTGGAGTTTAGTATAATTTCTCTGCTCTTCTACTTCATCCATTAATTTCTGAACTATTTCTTTGTTCTTTCCAATTTCATCCTTTTCTAGATCAATGTCTTGTATTTTCTGGACAAGTGCTGATCTCTCTAATTTGATTGCTTCTCTCATGTCTTCCATTTGCTTTCTTTCTGTCATTATGTCAGCCCTTATCTTTTGCAGGTCTTTTCTTTCCTGTTCAATCATCTTCCTGTCATTTTCCATTTCAGTTTTCTCTCGTTCCAATTCCCTCTTTAACTGATCAAGTTCTTCTCTCTCTATCTTTGCTTTTACTCTCATTTCTTCATCTTTCTCTTTTTCTTTCATAATATGTTCTTGCAGTGTGTTCAACTCTTGTATTTTTAGGCTTATGTCTTGTTGTTCCTGCTCAGCTTTAGTCTTCAGCTCCAGGACCTTGAATTTGGTCTGTTCTACACTTTTTCTTTCTTCTTCCATTTCATTCTGTTTCATGAAACCTTGTTCCTTCTGTTGCCTGGCTTGAGTATCAAATTCATCAAGTTTCTGCTGTAACTGTGTCCATTTATTGTTCAGTTCTTCTGTCTCCTGCTCTAGAAGCTCTCTGTATTTACTCAACTCTTGTTCTTGTTCATTTATGTTTGTGTTCATCTTTGCCAGATCCTTTTTCTCTCTGTTTATTTCTTCATTGACACTCTTAATGTCTTCCTTTTCCTTTTGTAGGTGCGCTTCCATTGCCTTCAGTGTTTCTCTCTCTTTCTTTAATTCCTCCTCCATGTATTTGATTTGTTTGCTTTCTTTTTGCAGCTCTGTCTTACTTTGAGCTAGAATAACATTTTCATCATTGATCTTTTGTCTTTCAAGGTCAAGTTCTTCTTTCTGGAGTTTAATATAATTTCTCTGCTCTTCTACCTTATCCATTAATTTTTTAACTCTCTCTTTGTTCTTTCCAATTTCATCCTTTTCTAGATCAATATCTTGTATTTTCTGGACAAGTGCTGATCTTTCTAATTTGATTGCTTCTCTCATGACTTCCATTTGCTTTCTTTCTGTCTTTATGTCAGACCTTATCTTTTGCAGGTCTTTTCTTTGCAGTTCAATCATCTTCTTATCATTGTCCATTTCAGTTTTCTCTCCTTCCAATTCCTTTATTATCTTATCAAATTTGTCTCTCTCAATCTTTGTTTTTACTCTAATTTCTTCATCTTTCTCTCTTTGTTTCATAATATGTTCTTGCAGTGTATTCAACTCTTGTATTTTTAGGCTTATGTCTTGATGCTCCTGCTCAGCTTTAGTCTTCAGCTCCAGGATCTTGACTTTGGTCTGTTCTAGACATTTTCTTTCTTCTTCCATCTCCTCCTCTTTCATTAAATCCTTTTCCTTCTGTTGTCTGACTTGAGTATCAAATTCATAAATTCTCTGCTGTAACGGTATCCATTTATTGTTTATTTCATCTTTCTCTTGCTCTAGACGCTCTATGTGTTTACTCAACTCTTGTTCTTGTTCATTTATGTTTGTGTTCATCTTTTCCAGATCCTCTTTCTGTCTCTTTGTTTCTTCAGTGACACTCTCAGTGTCTTCCTTTTGCTTTTGTAGATGAGCTTCCATTTCCTTCAGTGTTTCTCTCTCCTTCTTTATTTCCTCCTGCATGTATTTGATTTGTTCACTTTCTTTTTGCAACTCTGTCTTACTTTGAGCTAGAAGATATTTTTCATCAGTGATCTTTTGTCTTTCAAGGTCAAGTTCTTCTTTCTGGAGTTTAATATAATTTCTCTGCTCTTCTACTTTATCCATTGATTTCTGAACTATTGCTTGGTTCCTTTCAATTTCATCCTTTTCTAGATCAATCTTTTGCATTTTCTGTTCAAGTGCCGATCTCTCAAGTTTGATTGCTTCTCTCATGTCTTCCATTTGCTCTTTCTCTGTCATCATGTCAGACCTCATCTTATGCAGTTCTTTTCTTTCCTGTTCAATCATATTTCTGTCATCATCCATTTTCTTCTGCTCATGATCTATTTCCGTTTTCTCTCTTTCCAATTCACTCTTTATGTGATCAAGTTTTTCCTTCTCCATGTTTGATTTAACTCTCATTTCTTCTTCTTTCTCTTTTTCTTTCATAATCTGTTCCTGTTCATCTTTAGTCTTCAGCTCCAGGATCTTAGCTTTGGTTTCTTCTAGACTTTTTCTTCCTTCTTCCATATTTTTCTGTTCATTCATATAATCTTCCTTCTGTTTACTGACTTGAGCATCAAATTCATAAATTCTCAGTTGTAACTGTGTCCATTTTTGGTTTAATTCTTCTCTTTCTTCTTCTAGAAGGTCTCTGCAGTTCTTAAGCTCTTGTTTTTGTTTATTTATGTCTGTGTTCATTTTTTCCAGATCTTCTTTTCGTCTGTTTGTTTCTTCAATGACACTCTTAATTTCTTCTTTGTCTTTTTGTTGATGAGCTTCCATTTCCTTTAGTGTTTCTTTGTCCTTCTTTAATTCCTCTTCTGTATTTCCAATTTGTTCACTTTTTCTTTGCAGTTCAGTCTTAGTTTGAGTGAGAAAATATTTTTCATCTCTGATCTTTTGCCTTTCAAGTTTGGTTTCCTCTTCTTGAAGTTTTAGATAATTTCTATGTTCCTCTACCTCATCCATTAGTTTCTGAACTATATATTTCTCCTTTTCAATTTCATCCTTTTCTAAATCAGACTCTTGCATTTTCTGGACCTTTAACGCTCTCTCTGATTTGATTGCCTTCTCAAGATCTTTCTCCATTTGCACTTTTTGCGTCATTATTTCAAACTTTGTGTTCTCCAAGTCTTTTCTTTCCTGTTCAATCACCTTCCTGTCATCTTCCACCTTCTGCTGCTTATGATCTAACTCGGTTCTTAACATTTCAAGCAAATATTTCTCTGTTGTAATAATGTTTTCACATTCAGTTTTTTGTTTCAGGTTTTCTGTCTGAAGCTTTTCAAGTTCTTCTTTCTTTTTCAAAATGCCCTCTATTTCCTTTTCTGTGTCTTTCCTTTGTCTCAAGATTTCATTGCTGTTTTGCTGAAGAGTTTGTTTTTCTGCTTCTAATGCTGCCCATTCTTTCTCCATTTCTTCTCTCTTCCCTGTCAGTTCTTCTCTGATATGGTCAAATACATCTTTCTCACTTTGGAGTTGGGCCTTCATTTTAGCAATAATCTGTTTGTCTGTCTGTATCTGTAATTGAACCTTCTTACTGTTCACATCCATCTCTTCCCTCTCGTCATTCATTCTCTTATTTTCGAGGTGAAGTTCCTCTTTTAGTGTATTCATGATGCCTTTATTCTTACTGAGTTCTTGTTTCTCTCTTTCTGTATCACTCTTTAATTGCTCAAATTCTTTTCTCTCTTCATTTAGTTTTTCTTTTTCAACTTGCATTTTTTCTTCTTGTGCAATAAGTTTAGCTTTCATGATGTCCATGTCCTCTGTTAGTTTGTTTGTCCTGTTCTTGCTCATTTCAATTTCTTGTCTTTCTCTGATTAATTCATCAGTTTTGGTATTCATTTCCTTTTCCATTTGGTGTCTTTCAGCCTGAAGTTCCTTTTGCATCCTATGAAGTTCATTTCTCTCGTATCTCATCTCTTTCAGATTCTCATCCAGTGTGTGTTGTTGTTGAATTATCTCAGCAGCTCTCATCTCAAGTGTGGCTGTTTCATTCAAAACCGTATTTCTGATTTCTTGTAGTTGCTCTTTTTCTTCAATAATCTGTGCTTGCAGCGTGTTTAACTCTTGTATTTTTAGGTTTACATCATGATGTTCCTGCTCAGCTTTAGTCTTCATCTCCAGGATCTCTTTTAGACCTTTACTTTCTTCTTCTATTTCCTTTTGTTCCATTAGATATTCTTCCTTCTGTTTGTTGACTTGAGCATCAAATTCATCAATTCTCAGTTGTAACTCTGTCCATTTATGGTTTATTTCTTCTCTTTCGTTTTCTAGAAGGTCTCTGCTGTTCTTCAACTCTTGTTTTTGTTCATCCAGATCCTCTTTCTGTCTGTTTGTTTCTTCAGTGACACTCTCAATTTCTTCCTTTTCCTTTTGTAGATGAGCTTCCATTTCCTTCAGTGTTTCTCTCTCCTTCTTTATTTCCTCCTCCATGTATTTGATTTGTTCTCTTTCTTTTTGCAGCTCTGTCTTACTTTGAGCTAGAAGATATTTTTCATCAGTGATCTTTTGTCTTTCAAGGTCAAGTTCTTCTTTCTGGAGTTTAATATAATTTCTCTGCTCTTCTACTTTATCCATTAATTTCTGAACTATTTCTTTGTTCTTTTCAGTTTCATCCTTTTCTAGATCAATCTTTTGCATTTTCTGGTCAAGTGCTGATCTTTCTAGTTTGATAGTCTCTGTCAAGTGTTTTTCCATTTGTTCTCTTTGTGTCACTATTTCAGACTTCATATTCTCCAGGTTGTTTCTTTCCTGTTCAATCACCTTTCTGTCATTATTCATTTTGTTCTTCTCATGATCAATTTCAGATCTCTCTCTTTCCAGTTCACTCCTTATCTGGTCAAGTTCCTCTCTTTCCATCTTTGCTTTTATTCTAATCTGTGCTTTCAGCAAGTCTAGTTCATCTTTTTGGAGTGTAATATAATTTCTCTGTTCGTCCACCTGGTCCAATAGTTTCTGAACTTTTTCTTTGTACTTTTTATTATTTTCTAGCTCAATCTCTTGTGTTTTCTGGACAAGTGCTGATCTCTCTAATTTGATTGCTTCTCTCATATCTTCCATTTGTTCTCTTTGTGTCATTGTTTCAGACCGCATCTTCTCCAGGTCTTCTCTTTCCTCTTCAATCATCTTCCTGTCATTTTCCATTTCAGTTTTATCTCGTTCCAGTTCACTCCTTATCTGGTCAAGTTCTTCTCTTTCCATCTTTGCTTTTACTCTCATTTCTTCTTCTTTCTCTTTTTCTTCCATAATATGTTCTTGCAGTGTGTTCAATTCTTGTATTTTTAGGCTTATGTCTTGTTGTTCCTGCTCAGCTTTAGTCTTCAGCTGCAGGATCTTAACTTTGGTCTGTTCTAGACTTTTTCTTTCTTCTTCCATCTCCTCCTGTTTCATTAAATCCTTTTCCTTCTGTTGTCTGACTTGAGTATCAAATTCATTAATTCTCTGCTGTAACTGTGTCCATTTATTGTTTATTTCATCTTTCTCTTGCTCTAGAAGCGCTCTGTATTTACTCAACTCTTGTTTTTGTTCATTTATGTTTGTGCTCATCTTTTCCAGATCCTTTTTCTGTCTCTTTGTTTCTTCAGTGACACTCTCAAGTTCTTCCTTTTCCTTTTGTAGGTGCGCTTCCATTTCCTTCAGTGTTTCTCTCTCCTTCTTTATTTCCTCCTCCATGTATTTGATTTGTTCACTTTCTTTTTGCTGCTCTGTCTTACTTTGAGCTAGAAGATATTTTTCATCACTGGTCTTTTGTCTTTCAAGGTCAATTTCTTCTTTCTGGAGTTTAATATAATGTATCTGCTCTCCTACATTATCCATTGATTTCTGAACTATTTCTTTATTGCTTTCAATTTCATCCTTTTCTAGATCAATCTTTTGCATTTTCTGTTCAAGTGCCGATCTCTCAAGTTTGATTGTTTCTCTCATGTGTTCCATTTGCTCTCTCTCTGTCATCATGTCAGACCTCATCTTATGCAGTTCTTTTCTTTCCTGTTCAATCATATTGCTGTCATCATCCATTTTCGTCTGCTCATGATCTATTTCAGTTTTCTCTATTTCCAGTTCACTCTTTATGTGATCAAGATTTTCCTTCTCCATGTTTGCTTTAACTCTCATTTCTTCTTCTTCTTTCTCTTTTTCTTTCATAATCTGATCCTGTTCCGCTTTAGTCTTCAGCTCCAGGATCTTAGCTTTGGTTTCTTCTAGACTTTCTCTTTCTTCTTCCATCTTTTTTTGTTCCATCATATAATCTTCCTTCTGTTTACTGACTTGAGCATCAAATTCATCAAATCTCAGTTGTAACTGTGTCCATTTTTTGTTTATTTCTTCTCTTTCTTGTTCTAGAAGGTCTCTGCAGTTCTTCAACTCTTGTTTTTGTTCATCCAGATCCTCTTTCTTTCTCTTTGTTTCTTCAGTGACACTCTCAATTTCTTCCTTTTCCTTTTGTAAATGAGCTTCCATTTCCTTCAGTGTTTCTCTCTCCTTCTTTATTTCCTCCTCCATGTATTTTATTTGTTTGCTTTCTTTTTGCAGCTCTGTCTTACTTTGAGCTAGAAGATATTTTTCATCAGTGATATTTTGTCTTTCAAGGTCAAGTTCTTCTTTCTGGAGTTTAATATAATTGCTCTGCTCTTCTACTTTATCCATTAATTTCTGAACTATTTCTTTGTTCTTTTCAGTTTCATCCTTTTCTAGATCAATATTTTGCATTTTCTGGTCAAGTGCTGATCTTTCTATTTTGATAGTCTCTGTCAAGTGTTTTTCCATTTGTTCTCTTTGTGTCACTATTTCAGACTTCATCTTCTCCAGGTTGTTTCTTTCCTGTTCAATCACCTTTCTGTCATTATTCATTTTCTTCTGCTCATGATCAATTTCAGATTTCTCTCTTTCCAGTTCACTCCTTATCTGGTCAAGGTCCTCTCTTTCCATCTTTGCTTTTATGCTAATTTCTTTTTCTTTTATAATATGTGCTTTCAGCGAGTCTAGTTCTTCTTTTTGGAGTGTAATATAATTTCTCTGTTCGTCCACCTGGTCCAATAGTTTCTGAACTTTTTCTTTGTACTTTTTATTCTTTTCTAGATCAATCTCTTTTGTTTTCTGGACAAGTGCTGATCTCTCTAATTTGATTGCTTCTCTAATGTCTTCCATTTTTTCTCTTTGTGTCATTGTTTCAGACCGCATCTTCTCCAGGTCTTCTCTTTCCTGTTCAATCATCTTCCTGTCATTTTCCATTTCCGTTTTCTCTCGTTCCAATTCCCTCTTTATCTGATCAAGTTCTTCTCTCTCCATCTTTGCTTTTACTCTCATTTCTTTTTCTTTCTCCTTTTCTTTCATAATATGTTCTTGCATTGTGTTCAACTCTTGTATTTTTAGGCTTATGTCTTGCTGTTCTTGCTCAGCTTTAGTCTTCAGCTGCAGGATCTTGACTTTGGTCTGTTCTAGACTTTTTCTTTCTTCTTCCATCTCCTCCTGTTTCATTAAATCCTTTTCCTTCTGTTGTCTGACTTGAGTATGAAATTCATCAATTCTCTGCTGTAACGTTATCCATTTATTGTTTATTTCATCTTTCTCTTGCTCTAGAAGCTCTCTGTATTTTCTCAGCTCTAGTTTTTGTTCATTTATGTTTGCGCTCATCATTTCCAGGTTTTCTTTTCGTCTATTTGTTTCTTCAGTGACACTCTCAAGTTCTTCCTTTTCCTTTTGTAGAAGAGCTTCCATTTCTTTCAGTGTTTCTCTCTTCTTTTTTATTTCATCTTCCATGCATCTGATTTGTTCACTCTCTTTTTGCAGTTTAGTCTTTATTTGAGCCTGACAATCTTTTTCATCATTTATCTTTTGTCTCTCAAGTTCAAGTTTTTCTTCATGGAGTTTAATATAATTTCTCTGTTCTTCTACCTCATCCAGTATCTTCTGTAAAATTTCTTTGCTCTTCTCAATGTCACATTTTTCTAGATCAGTCTGTTTTATTTTGTTGTCAAGTTCCTCTCTCTCTTCTTCTATTTGCTTTCTTTGTAACATTATTTCAGACCTCATCTCCTCCATGTAATTTCTTCCTTGTTCAATCATATTTCTGTCATCATTTATTTTCTTCTGCTCATGATCTATTTCAGTTTTCAGTCTTTCCAGATCACTCTTCATCTGATCAAGTTCCTCTCTCTCCATCTTTAGTTTTACACTTATCTCTTCATCCATTTGTTGTCTATATTCTTCAGATTCATTCCTCATGTTCTCCAGATCTCTCCTCTCCTCGTTCACAGCTTTTATACTCTCCTCCAGTCTTCGCCGCTGTTGATTAATTTCAGCCTTTTCAGTCTCTAACTCATATTTGATTTCTTCCATTTCGTCTCTTTGTTTTTGTAATGTCTTCTGGAGAACATCCAGCTCATTCCACTTCTTCATCATGTCCTCTTTTTCTTTCTCTATTTCATCTCTCTGTCTCAGAATTTCGCTAGCTTTTTCCTCAAGAAGCTTTTTCTCTTCATTCATTGATATTTTACTCATCTCTTCTTTTTCTTTTTGTTCTGTCATGTGCGTCTCCAGGTCATCAGCTTGTCTTTGCAAATCTTCTTTTTCCTTTTCAGTGTTATTTCTCTCTTTTTTCAGACGGTCTTTCTCAGTCTTAATCAGTTGATTTTGCTCTTCTATGTCATCAATAGTCTTTTCTAGTTCACTCTTATTCCTCATATTTTCTTCCATGGTATTGGCACATTGATCCATCATTTGTTTAAGGTGGGACTCCCTTATCTCCATATTTTCTTGCTCCCTTTTGATCTCTTCTAAGATGCTTTTCAAATTTTCAGCATCATTCTGCACCTCAGATTTTGTCTGGTCAACCAGTTTTCTTTCCTCTTGGAGTTTTTCTGCTTCAGTTCGGATCACTTCTTGTTGTTCCACAAGCTTGGCTTTCGTGATTTCCAGATCTTTCATTAACTTGTTAGTTGTGTTCCTGTTTTCACCAATGTCTTGTTTTTCTGTTTGTATTTCATCTCTCAGTTGTGAGAGTTCTCTTTCCTGCTTTGCAAAAGTCTTCATGTCCTCTTGCATTCTTTGTCTCTGAGCTTCTAGTTCAATCCTCAACTTATCCATTTCCCTTCTTTCTTCCGTTATCTCTCTTACAATTTGATCCAGTCTTTGCTGCTGCTCCGTAATATATTTCTCTCTCTGCTCCAGCTCAGTCTTCTGAATTATCACTCTTTGTCTCATTGATTCTATTTCATCGTTTACCCTATTTATATCAGCTTTCTCTTTTTCAGTTTGCTCTCTCTCAGTAAGAAGCTTTATCTTAATTTTTTCCAGTTTTTCTCTTTCTTTCTCTAGCTCTTCTAAATGGACTTGAACCTTATCTTTCTGTTGTTTAGTCCAGATCTGCAGATCATCTTTTTTCTGCTTCATTTCTGTATTTTCATTGTCTATTTCATGCCGTATCTTCTTAAGCAACTCATAGTCCTTATTAATTTCTTGTTTTTGCAGTTCTATATCAACCTGCATCTCTTCAAGGGCATGCTGTATCTTATTGGTTTCCTCAGGAACATTATCTAAATGTTCCTGTTCAATGTGAAGCTGAGCAGCGATCCCATGTAATTCTATGTTTCTCTTCTCTATTACTCCCTCCTTCCTCTGTATGTTTAGCTCTTTTTCATCAAGAGCATTCTGCTTGTCTTGCATGCATTGCTTTTGTAGTTCAATGGACTGAATCTGATGGTGTATTTCACCTTGCATTTGTTCAACCTTGTCTCTTTCTTTGTTGGTCATGTATTTTATGTTTTCCATTTCTTCTTTGGCTTTCTGAAGTATTTGCTTCTCTTCATTCATTTTTATGATGTTAAGCTCCAACATCTGTTTCTGCTGTTCAGTTTCAAATCTCTGTTTTTCCAGATCTTCTCTCTCTTTTTTGTTTTCCTCACTGGTTTGATCATTCTGTCGCTGCTGGTTGAGTACCTCGACCTGCCGTTCCTCAATGTTTGATTTTTCCAAAATAAGTTCCTTCTTCCAAATGTCATTTTCATTTTGCTTGTTCTGTATCTCTGCTCTTAAAGCTTCTAGTTTGTTTCTTAAAGTCATCAAGTTATTTCTCTCTTCCTCTGTTTCTTGTTTTTCACGAAGAAGTTCTTTCTTCATCTCCTCAAGTGCCAGTCTGTCCTTTTGTATCTGCTCAATCTGGTCCATCATTTGTTTTTCCAAGTCTTTCTTTTCTTTGTCAATTTCTGTCTTTTCCTTTTCAAGCATCACTTTTGTTTTATCAATTTCTTGCTTTTGTCTCTCCATCTCCTTTATCGTCTTATCAAGGTCCCTCATTTTCATTTCAGTCTCTTCAGACAAACATTTAATTTCTTCTCTGTCTTTATCTAGTTGGATTTTAATTTCTCTTTCTTTCTCTTTTAGGTTGGTGTCTATTATTATCATTTTATCTGTCTGTATCTTTATCTCCGCTTTTGTCTTTTCAAGATTACATTTATCTTCTTGAAGTCGTTGATTATCCTTTTCAATTTCTACTTTTGTTCTCTCCAGGTCAACCCTCATTTGCAATAATTCTTCCATTTCTTTATCAATCTTTTCTTTCTTACTTTTAATGTCATATCTACTTATTTGCAACTCACTGTGAAGTTTGTTAGTTTCTTCCCTCTGTCTCTCTAATTGTCTGATTTCTTCCTCCACTCTTTGCCTTTCACCCTCAATTTCCAGCCAGCATTTCTCTAGATCCTTTCTTTCCTTCTTGATAACATTTTGAATCTCTTTGGATTCTGCTCTTATCTGTTCTAGTGCATTCTTCTCATCTTGTACATTCAGTTTCTCATGTCTTAGATTTTGTAATTGCTTCTCCAGATAATTTTTCATGTTTTCAAGTTCAGCCTTCTCTTGATCCATCAACGTTTTGCTGATTTCAAGCCACTCTTTTTCTTTCTGTACTTCTTCAGTCAGCTTTCTGTATTCATTGCGTTCTCTTGTAATTGTTTCACCCATTTCCATTAATTGCTGTTTCTCCTCTTGAATTTCAGCCTCCTTTCTTTCCAGATTACTTTGAATCTCCTTCTTGATTTTATACATTTCATCTTGAATCTGTTTCAGCTGCTGCTGCTCTTCCATGAAAGATTTTACTTTGTTTTCAAGCTCACTTTCCTTTCTTTGCAGTTCTTCTCGAAGTGTATCCAGTTTCTGTTTTTCTGAATATACATTATTCTTCTCTTTGTCAACATCATCTCTTTCCTTCAGAATGTCCACCTTAATTTGTTCTAGAGCCTCTTTGTGATTTTGAATCTCTTGCTTCGCCATCTCATCTTGCTCTTTCTGTTGTAAGGCTTTTCTTTCCAGGTCCCCTGTTTCTCTCTCTAACGCTTCCCTCTTAAGCTGCAGATGTGTCATTTCCCTTTCATAAACATCCCTGCCATTTTTCAGTCGTTTCTTATCATCTTGAAGTTCTGCACTGATTATATTGAGATCTTTCTTCTTGGTCTCTATTTCTGTGATGATATTCTCTATATCTTCTCGTTGTGTGTGAAGTTTTAGACTGAGGTCTGTTAATCTGTCTCTCTCATTGTTTGCTTCCTGAATGAGTTTGTCGGTGATCTCTGACTTTTTCTGAAGCTCAGCATTCTTTTGTTCAATCAAATGTCTCTCTGTGCTGACCATTTGCTTCATTTCTTCCACTTGCTCTTTTTCTTTGTTTAGTTCACTCTTCATTTCCTGTAGTTTCTCCTCCATTTTTGCAGCAATGTGGAGCTTTTCCTCAAGTTTAGCCCTCTCGTTTTCTAGTTCATTCTTAATCTTTTCTAGATTTTTCAGCTCCACATCATAAGCCTTCATGGCAGCACTCACTTCATGCCTCTGGTGATTGATTTCAGCTTGTTCATCTTCTAACCGATCCTTCTCCATAATCAAAGCATGTTTTGAAGATTCAACATTAATTATCTGTCTCTGTAGTTCACTTCTAGAGAGCTCCAGCTCTTGCTTCTCTTGCCTTAAATTGTTCATTTCTTTTTCTATATCTTTTTGCTTCCTCAGTATTTCCATATTGATCTTTTCAAGTGTATCTTTCTTTTTCTCTATTTCTTCAACAATCCAACTTTTCTCTTCCAACTCATGTTTCTGCTTCTCCAGTATCTGCTCTCCTCTCTTTACTTCAGAAGTAATGCCTTCCAGTTCAGCCCTTTTCTTTTCATGCAGGGTTTTCATTTCTTCCATGGTTTGCCATAGGCTTTGTATATCTCTGTTGAGCTGTTCCAGATCACTCTTGTTTCTCAATAGTTCCTCAAAAACATTTTGCAGTTCTTCCTTGTTCTTTCTTGTGTCCTTAAACTCTTCCGTTATTTCTTTAGTTATTTCTACCTTAACCAGCTCTCTTTTGGTCTCCACATCCTCATTTTCTCTGTTTATCTCATCCTTCCGCTGCTCCAGTTCTTCTCTTTCTTTCTGTAGCATTTCTTTCATGCTCTCTTCCTCGTGTTGCTTTTCTGCAAGCTCTGCTCTCATCTTCTCCAATTCATTCTTGTCTCTTCTGGTGGTTTCTATCTCTTTTCTAAGGCTTCCAAGATTTTCCCGTATTTGTCCAATATCTTGAATGAGCCTCTGGATCTCAGACTTGAAGTTTTCCTTTTCATCTCTCACCACCTTACCTTCCTCCATCCTGCTCTCCATGTCAACTTTTAGATTTCTCACCATTTCCCTGATTTTCACAACCTCTAAAATTAGTCTTTGGATGTCAGCATTGGTACTTTCGTCATCTTCTAGATTCACAGTTTTCTCCACCAATAGCTCTATATCCTCTCTTGCACTTTGAACATCATTCCTGAGTATTTCCAGCTCCTGCCGCTCTCTGTTGATCTCCTCTCTCGCCTTTGCTATCTCAGTCTTCATTTTCTCCACCTCATCCCTCTTTCGTATCACTTGTTTCATCATCTGGTCCAGATCTTTCTTTTCTAGGACTATTTCAGACCTTAAGACTTCCAGTTCTCCCTTCTCATGCGTCATTTTCTGAATCCTTGTTTCTATGACTTTTCTCTGGCTCTGTATATCCATCAGCTCCAACTCTCTCGTGTCCTTTTCATGCTGTAATATCTCAAACCTCATGTTTTCTAGCTCATCCATCTGATGTTTTAAGTCTGCTTTAGTTTTCTGAAGTTCTACCTGCTGTTGATCCAGCTCAGCCTTCAACTCTGTCAGTTTGTCTATTTGTCTGTTAATGTCATCTGTCTGACTCTTACTCTCTTCTTGCTGGTCGTCCAATGATTCCATTTTCTCCCTTAATTCCTCTGAATCTCTCCTCATTACTTTCTTTTTTCTGGAAGGTTTAACTGTTTGTACTGTGCTTTCTCTAGTTGTTTCTTCTAGAAGGTTTTTGAGAATTTCATATTGTTTCTTCATGTCAACATTTTCTTTCTTCAGCAGTTCATTTTCGTCATTAAGTTTTTGATTGTCCAATGCCATTTCTTGTTTTTGTCTCTCCAAATCAGCTCTATTTTGCTCAAGATCATTTCGCTCTTTGCTCAACAAGTCTTTGGTACTCTCAATTTGCTGCTTCTTTTTTTGTATCTCCTTGTTCTGTTGCTCATAGGTTTCCTTCATGCCCTGTTTCATGGCTTCGACTTCCAGTCTCATGTTCTCCAGTTCAAATCTTTCATTTCTAGCAGCCTTGACTTCATCTTTCATTCTTCTGAGAACCTCTCTGACATGCTCAATTTCCTGGATCAGCCTCTGCATGTAAGCACTAATTTTTTGCCTTTCCTCTGAATCCGCTTGAACATTAACATCTCTCTGCATGCTTCTTTCCAGGTCATGTTTTGTTCTCCAGGCCATTTCCCTAGTCTTTTCAGCCTCTTGAATAAGCCTCTGTATCTTGGTGTTTATTTGTTCTTTCTCTTCCAGATCTCCACCTCTTTCTTCCGTATGAGATTGTAGTTCTTCTCCCGCTCGTTGTTTCTCAGCTTTCATTTGATCCATGTCATCACGCTCTATACTTAACATGACTCTGTCCATTTCAAGTTTCTCATTTGCACTTTCAATATCAGCTCTCATTTTCTCCAGCTCATCTCTCTTTCTCGCTGCCTGTCTCATCTTATCATCAAGATCTTTCCTCTTGCTATCAGTTTCATCCTGAAGAAGCTTCAATTCTTTCATCTCACGTTTAGTCTTTTTCATCTTGTCCTCTAATTCCTCTTTCTGACTGAGTATTTCTGCTCTCATACCAATAAGTTCCTCTACTTCTGATTGTCTTTTAGTCTCAAACTCTTCTTTTTGGATTAGAATATTTGTTTTGATCTCCTCATATTTCTCCATTTCTTGTTTAGCCTCTCTCAACATTTTGTCATTTGCTTTTCTTTCTTTTGCTAACTCGGCTTTCATTCGCTCTAGTTGAACTCTTTCATCTTGAATATCCTGTTTTTGAACTTTTAACTCCTCTAATTCTTTATGCAGATTTGATTTATTTTGTTCCATATCATCTATGTCTCGTTTCAGTTGCGTTCTGCTTTTCTCAGTCAATTCATTTTCATTCAAAAGCTCTTTCCTCAGCTGTTCCACATTTTCAGTGTCCTTCTTTAGTGTCTCCATCAGCTGACACTGCTCTAACAGTTCACCTCTTTCTCTCTCCATGTCATGTTTTTGCTTTAAGATCTCCACTCTCATCTGATCAAGACTCTCTCTCTCTTTCTGCAGGTTTGCACGAGTGATGTCACTCTCCTCGGATTGTCTTTTGAAATGTTCCTTGGTTTTTTCCAGATCCATATTTTCCTTAATAACAATCGCTTTGTCTACAGCAATGGCTAGTTTTTGTCTTTCTATCTCAGCTTGTATTTCATCCAGGGTGTCATCCTTAGCAAATTGTTGCCTCTCTTTTTCTAACTCTTGTGCAGCCCTCTGCCTTTCTTTCTGAACTTCTAGCTTCAACTTTTTAATATCATCTCTCTTCTTTTCTAGCTCGTCTTGCTCATTTTTATAAGCTTGTTTCTCATTTTGGAGGTTTTCCAAGTCTCTAGCCAACTCAGCTCTCTTTTGTTCCAGATTCTCAAAATCAGCCTTTTCTTTTATTTTGTTTTTCATGTCATCCATTTCTTTTTGTTTATTTTGAAGTTCTGTTCTCATTTGTTCTAGTTCATTCTCTTTGTGTTGTATTTTTTCCTTCTTATCTTCAATTTGAGCTATTTGTCTCAAGTTATTTGTACTCCTTTGCTTGAGAATGTCTTTATCTCTCTGCAAGTCAGTTTTTTGTCTATCTAGTTCTTCCTTGGCTTGGTTTATGTCTGCCTTGGTTTTCTCCAGCTCAGATCTTTCTTCTTGAAGCAAGTCTTTGGCAGACTGAATTTCCTTTCTTTGCTTCTCTGTCTCATCCATGAGCTCTTCCGCCTGTTGGTAGTCCGCTGGAATGCCACTGACGTCTAATTGCTTTTTAAATTTGGCTGCCATCTCTTCTGCCCTCCGTCTTTCATTGTTTGTCTTCTCAGATAGTTTCTCCAAGTCTTCAGCTTGTTTTTGAAGGTCGGTTTTCATCCTCTCTAGTTCCTCCTTCTCATTTTCAAATGTGTGTTTCTCAACTTTTAGATTATTTAATTCTTTCTCCAGATCCACTTTTTGCCTCTCCATAAGATCAACATTTTTGGTCAACAGCTCTCTGTCTTTTTCAACCTGATCGTTTTCCTCCAGTAATTTTAGTCTCAGTTGTTCACATGTATCCTTTTCTTCCTCTAGACTGACTATCTCTCTCTCTATATTTCTCTTCTGTGCCATCATTTCCACTCTTTCTCTTTCTACGTTTGTCATTTCTGTCTTTGTGAATTCCATTAGATCGTCAACCTCTCGCTGTAATAGATCAATGTCAGTTTGTCTCTGGTCCAGTTGACTCATTTCCATCATGATTGTGTTTTTCAGTTCGTCCATTTCATGTTGTTGTTGTAAAATGTTTTCCTGCAGCTTTGCAAGTTCAGTTTCTCTGCGAGAAAGACTTTCATTCGCTTTTTGAATAGTCTCCACTTGTTTTGATATTTTCACCCTCATTTCTTCAAGAGCGTCCCTCTCTGTCCGCATCTCTTTTATTGTCTTTTCATTCTTTTCTTGCTGTTCTGCAAGAAGTTTGTTGGCTTTAGCAATTTCTGTTTTGATTTTCTCTAAATCAGTCTTCTCCATTTCAAACTCAGTTGCTTGCTTTTGTTGATTACATTTTTTAACATTAATCTCCTCGTTAAGGCTTTCAAGATTACTTCTCTCTTCCTGAAGTTGAGCTGACATTTCTTCTAGCTTCTGTCTTTCATTTTGCATATCCTGCTTTTCCATTTCAATGTGTTCGGCTTCACTTTGCAGTTCAGCTCTCATCTGTTCCAGTTTGTCCTTTTCATCTTCAATAAACTTCTTCTCTAACATCATCTCCTGTTTATGAGGTAAATCCTCAGCTTCAGGTAAGTCTGACTTTTGGCTCTCAACATCTGTTTCTAATGCATCTTTTAAGTCCATTTCCAGCATCTGCTCCATCAAGACACTTTTTCCATCTGGATCTGACATTTCTTTGTCTGTTAAAGATTTCACTACATCCACGTCACTCTGTTGAAGAACCATTTCAGCCTCTGATTTCTCAAGCAGACTTTCTTCTGTTATGCCAAACCTCAGGTGATCAATATCTCCTTGTTTTCTTTCGATGTCTGCCCGCATTCTTTCAAGTTCTTCCTTTTCTATTCGTAACTCTTGCTTTTCATCTTTAAGTGCCATTTTTTCTTTAGTTATTTTCTCACTCATCTGTTCAAGCATGTTTCTATCTTGTTGTATCTCTGCCAGTGTGATCTCAATGTTTGTTTTTTGTTCAGAAAGCTGTTTTTCAAGCTCTTCCTTGGTTTGAGACATCTCAGCTTTGGTTTTCTCTAAGTCAGACCGTTCCCTTCTAATCAAGTCGTTGCCTCTCTCAATTGCTTCTTGTTCTCTTTGTATTTCAGTATAGGTTTCATCAAGAATATCTCCCTTCTTTTTAATTTCCTCAATGAGATCATTGATTTCTTTCCTCTCTTTCTGGAGTTGAGCTGTCATTTCCTCCAGTTTTTGTCTTTCGTGTTGTGTTTCTAGTCTGATCTTCTCAATATCTTGTGTTTCTCGTTGCAGGTCAGTTTTGATCTGTTGTATAATTTCCTTCTCATTCTCCAAAGCTTCTCTCTCAAGTTTCAGACTCTCTGAATCTCTGTCTACATTAACTAGTTTTTGTTGCAGATTTTCCATGTCTCTCTTCAGCAGTTGTCTACCATTTTCCAACATTTCCTTTTCAGTCAACACCTCCTTCATCTGAAGCTCAACATCTTCATACTTTTTTCTCAGCTCAGTCATCATGTCCTGTTTTTCCCTGATCATTGCAGCTCTTTCACTTTCAATGTTGTTCTTTTCCTTTTCCACTTCACTTTGTTGTTTATGAATCTCTGCTTGTAGTATCTCTAGTTTATCTTCTCTGAGTTTAATTTTCTCTTTCTCATTTTCAATTTCATCAGTTTGTTTGGAGATGTTCAGTCTCATTTGCTCAAGGTTGTTTTTCTCTCTTTGTTGATCTGCCATTAAAGACTCATTTGCAACTTTCCTTTCATCCAGGATTTTATTATTTTTCTTTGTATCTTCATCAAGATGAACAATATCTTCTCTCTCTTTCTTATGTTCTTCAGCCATCTTTTCCAAACTCTGTCTCTCATTTTGTGTTTCTTCTTTGAGCTTTCGGATATCATCAGCTTCTCTTTGCAGCTCAATCTTCATCTGTTCTAACTTGTTCTTCTCATCTTCAATCACTTGTTTCTGAAGTGTCATCATCTCTAGGTCTTCATTCAGATCTTTTCTGCTTTGGTCAACATCATCTCTTTCTTTCTTCACTTGCTGTTTCTGTTCTTCCATCTCTTGTTTATTTTTATCTAGTTGTTTTCTTTCATTCCTCATTTTTTCCATAATGTCACTCACTTCTGTCTGTTGTTTGTCTAACTCGGATTGTCTCAGATCAAGCTGACTTCTGTCTTTTATTATAATGTTTCTGTCATTGTCTTGTTCTTGTTTCTGATTATGAATTTCAGTTTTCTGTTGTTCAAGTTCATGTTGTTTTTGTCTCATTTTTTCCTCTTGATCTTTATTAATATCATGTATTTGTCTTGTGATGGTCTCATTCATCTCCTTTAGGGAGGCTCTCTCTTTCTGTATCTCTGCCAGTATGATTCCTTGCTTTTCTCTTTCTTTTTCAAGATCCTCCTTGGCTTTAGCAAGTTTACTTTTGATTTTCTCAAGATCATGTTTGTCCTTCTCAAGCATGTCTCTATCAGATTGAATGGCTTTAGTTTTCACTTCAATTTCTGTGTTCATTTCATCAAAGACCATGTCTTTTCTTTTTGTCTCCTCAATGAGATTGTCGATTTCTTCTCTCTCTTTCTGGAGTTGAGCTGTCATTTCCTCCAGTTTTTGTCTTTCGTGTTGTGTTTCTAGTCTGATCTTCTCAATATCTTGTGTTTCTCGTTGCAGGTCAGTTTTGATCTGTTGTATAATTTCCTTCTCATTCTCCAAAGCTTCTCTCTCAAGTTTCAGACTCTCCGAATCTCTGTCTACATTAACTAGTTTTTGTTGCAGATTTTCCATGTCTCTCTTCAGCAGTTGTCTACCCTTTTCCAACATTTCCTTTTCAGTCAACACCTCCTTCATCTGAAGCTCAACATCTTCATACTTTTTTCTCAGCTCAGTCATCATGTCCTGTTTTTCCCTGATCATTGCAGCTCTTTCACTTTCAATGTTGTTCTTTTCCTTTTCCACTTCACTTTGTTGTTTATGAATCTCTGCTTTTAATTGCTCTAGTTCATCTTCTCTGAGTTTAATTTTCTCTTTCTCATTTTCAATTTCATCAGTTTGTTTAGAGATGTCCAGTCTCATTTGCTCAAGGTTGTTTTTCTCTCTTTGTAGATCTGCCATTGAAGACTCATTTGCAGCTTTCATTTCATCCAGAATCTCTTGTTTTCTCTTTGTATCTTCATCAAGATGAAAAATATCTTCTCTCTCTTTCTGAAGTTCTTCAGCCATCTTTTCCAAACTCTGTCTCTCATTTTGTGTTTCTTCTTTGAGCTTTCGGATATCATCAGCTTCTCTTTGCAGCTCAGTCTTCATCTGTTCTAACTTGTTCTTCTCATCTTCAATCACTTGTTTCTGAAGTGTCATCATCTTTAGGTCTTCATTCAGATCTTTTCTGCTTTGGTTAACATCATCTCTTTCTTTCTTCAGTTGCTGTTTCTGTTCTTCCATCTCTTGTTTATCTTTATCTAGTTGTTTTCTTTCATTCCTATTTTTTTCCATAATGTCACTCACTTCTGTCTGTTGTTTGTCTAACTCGGACTGTCTTAGATCAATCTGACTTCTGTCTTTTGTTATAATATTTCTGTCATTGTCTTGTTCTTATCATCAGTTTGTTTGGAGATGTTCAATTTCATTTGCTCAAGGTTGTTTTTCTCTCTTTGTAGATCTGCCATTAAAGACTCACTTGCAACTTTCATTTCATCCAGAATCTCATGTTTTTTCTTTGTATCTTCAGCAAGATGAACGATATCTTCTCTCTCTCTCTTAAGTTCTTCAGCCATCTTTTCCAAGCTCTGTCTCTCATTTTGTGTGTCTTCTTTGAGCTTTCGGATATCCTCAGCTTCTCTTTGCAGCTCAATCTTCATCTGTTCTAACTTGTTCTTCTCATCTTCAATCCCTTGTTTCTGAAGTGTCATCATCTTTAGGTCTTCAGCCAGATCTTTTCTGCTTTGGTCTACATCATCTGTTTCTTTCTTCAGTTGCTGTTTCTGTTCTTCCATTTCTTGTTTTTCTTTATCTAGTCGTCTTCTCTCATTCCTTATTTTTTCCATAATATCATGGACTTCTGTCTGTTGTTTGTCTAACTCAGATTGTCTCAGATGAAGCTGACTTCTGTCGTTTATTATAATGTTTCTGTCAGTGTCTTGTTCTTGTTTCTGATAATGAATTTCAGTTTTCAGTTGTTCGAGTTCATGTTGTTTTTGTCTCATTTGTTCCTCTTGATTTTTAATATCATGTGTTTGCCTTGTGATGGTCTCCTTAATCTCCTCAAGGTTTTTTCTCTCTTTCTGTAACTCTGCCAGTATGATTCCTTGCTTTTCTCTTTCTTTTTCAAGATCCTCCTTGGCTTTATCAAGTTCACTTTTGATTTTCTCAAGATCATGTTTTTCCTTCTCAAGCATGTCTCTATCAGATTGAATGGCTTTAGTTTTCACTTCAGTTTCTGTGTTCATTTCATCCAAGACCATATCTTTTCTTTTTGTCTCCTCAATGAGATTGTTGATTTCTTCTCTCTCTTTCTGGAGTTGAGCTGTCATTTCCTCCAGTTTTTGTCTTTCATGTTGTGTTTCTAGTCTGATCTTCTCAATCTCTTGTGTTTCTCGTTGCAGGTCAGTTTTGATCTGTTTTATCATTTCCTTCTCATTCTCCAGAGCTTCGCTCTCAAGTTTCAGACTCTCTGAATCTCTGTCTACATTAACTATTTTTTGTTGCAGAATTTCCATGTCTCTCTTCAGCAGTTGTCTACCATTTTCCAACATTTCCTTTTCAGTCAATATCTCCTTCATCTGAAGCTCAACATCTTCAGACTTCTTTCTCAGCTCAATCATCATATCCTGTTTTTCCCTAATCATTGCAGCTTTTTGAGTTTCAGCAATGCTCTTCTCATTCTTTGCGATCTCCACAATGTCATGCAGCTCCTTCTGTTGTTTTTCTATTTCAGTCTCTCTGAGTTCAAGCTGCTGCTTCTCAGTCATGATGATTTCTTTGAGGTTTTTCAGTTCACTTTGTTGTTTTTGATTCTCTGCTTTTAGTTGTTCTAGTTCATCTTCTCTCAGTCTTATTTTCTCTTTCTCATTTTCAATATCATCAGTTTGTTTGGAGATGTTCAATTTCATTTGCTCAAGGTTGTTTTTCTCTCTTTGTAGATCTGCCATTAAAGACTGAATTGCAACTTTCATTTCATCCAGAATCTCATGTTTTTTCTTTGTATCTTCAGCAAGATGAACGATATCTTCTCTCTCTCTCTTAAGTTCTTCAGCTGTCTTTTCCAAACTCTGTCTCTCATTTTGTGTTTCTTCTTTGAACTTTCGGATATCATCAGCTTCTCTTTGCAGCTCAATCTTCATCTGTTCTAACTTGTTCTTCTCATCTTCAATCACTTGTTTCCGAAGTGTCATCATCTGTAGGTCTTCATTCAGATCTTTTCTGCTTTGGTCAACATCATCTCTTTCTTTCTTCAGTTGCTGTTTCTGTACTTCCATCTCTTGTTTATTTTTATCTAGTTGTTTTCTTTCATTCCTAATTGTTTCTATAATGTCACTCACTTCTGTCTGTTGTTTGTCTAACTCGGATTGTCTCAGATCAAGCTGACTTCTGTCTGTTATTATAATATTTCTGTCATTGTCTAGTTCCTGTTTCTGATTATACATTTCAGTTTTCAGTTGCTCAAGTTCATGTTGTTTTTGTCTCATTTGTTCCTCTTGATTTTTAATATCATGTATTTGTCTTGTGATGGTCTCCTTCATCTCCTCTAGGTTGTCTCTCTCTTTCTGTGTCTCTGCCAGTATGATTTCTTTCTTTTCTGCTTGCTCAGCAAGTTGATTTTCAAGATCTTCTTTGATTTTATCAAGTTCTTGTTTAGTTTTCTGCATTTCATATTTTTCCTTCTCAAGCATGTCTCTATCAGATTGAATGGCTTTAGTTTTCACTTCAGTTTCTGTGTTCATTTCATCAGCAAGATGAACGATATCTTCTCTCTCTCTCTTAAGTTCTTCAGCTGTCTTTTCCAAACTCTGTCTCTCATTTTGTGTTTCTTCTTTGAGCTTTCGGATATCATCAGCTTCTCTTTGCAGCTCAATCTTCATCTGTTCTAACTTGTTCTTCTCATCTTCAATCACTTGTTTCCGAAGTGTCATCATCTGTAGGTCTTCATTCAGATCTTTTCTGCTTTGGTCAACATCATCTCTTTCTTTCTTCAGTTGCTGTTTCTGTTCTTCCATCTCTTGTTTATCTTTATCTAGTTGTTTTCTTTCATTCCTATTTTTTTCCATAATGTCACTCACTTCTGTCTGTTGTTTGTCTAACTCGGATTGTCTCAGATCAAGCTGACTTCTGTCTTTTATTATAATGTTTCTGTCATTGTCTTGTTCTTGTTTCTGATTATGAATTTCAGTTTTCAGTTGTTCAAGTTCATGTTGTTTTTGTCTCATTTGTTCCTCTTGATTTTTAATATCATGTATTTGTCTTGTGATGGTCTCATTCATCTCCTTTAGCGAGGCTCTCTCTTTCTGTATCTCTACCAGTATGATTCCTTGCTTTTCTCTTTCTTTTTCAAGATCCTCCTTGGCTTTATCAAGTTCACTTTTGATTTTCTCAAGATCATGTTTTTCCTTCTCAAGCATGTCTCTATCAGATTGAATGGCTTTAGTTTTCACTTCAGTTTCTGTGTTCATTTCATCCAAGACCATATCTTTTCTTTTTGTCTCCTCAATGAGATTGTTGATTTCTTCTCTCTCTTTCTGGAGTTGAGCTGTCATTTCCTCCAGTTTTTGTCTTTCATGTTGTGTTTCTAGTCTGATCTTCTCAATCTCTTGTGTTTCTCGTTGCAGGTCAGTTTTGATCTGTTTTATCATTTCCTTCTCATTCTCCAAAGCTTCTCTCTCAAGTTTCAGACTCTCTGAATCTCTGTCTACATTAACTATTTTTTGTTGCAGATTTTCCATGTCTCTCTTCAGCAGTTGTCTGTCATTTTCCAACATTTCCTTTTCAGTCAATATCTCCTTTATCTGAAGCTCAACATATTCAGACTTCTTTCTCAGCTCAATCATCATGTCCTGTTTTTCCCTGATCTCTTTTTGCAGATTTTCTAATTTGGACTCATGTAATACTTTAATTTCATCCAGAATCTCATTCTTTCTCTTTGTATCTTCAGCAAGATGAACAATACCTTCTTTCTCCTTCTGAAGTTGTTCAGCCATCTTTTCCAAACTCTGTCTCTCATTTTGTGTTTCTTCTTTTAACCTTCTCATATCTTCAGTTTGTCTTTGCATCTGTACTAAATCATCCGTCTCATCTTGAATAACTTTTTTATGATATTGAAGCTGCTTTATCTCTCTGTCTAGGGCTGCTCTTTTTTCGTCTATGTCAGCATTGAATGTTTTCAACATTTGGGTCCTTTCCTCAATTAATTCTTTTTCATTATTCAGTTCTGCCTTCAAGAGCTCCAGTTCAGTCTCTATTTGGTGTTTCTGTGCTAGCATTTCAGATTTCTCTTTCTCAATACAAGCCTTTTCTCCTGTTGTAAATTCCATGATTTCATTTACTTTTCTCTGTTTTTGATCTATTTCAGTTTTCTTCTTTTCAATTCTGTCTTTTTCCATTGTGAGAGCTTTTCGTGTGGCTTCCATTTCATCTTGCTGCCTATAAATCAGAGCTTGGAGGTGTTCAAGTTCAGTCTCTCTCAGTCTCATTTGTTGTCTCTCATTTGCAATGTTGTCCTGTTGCTCTGAATTACTATCTCTCAGTAGAAGAAGCATGTATTTTTCTTTCTGTATCTCTGCTAGTGTGATCTTGTTCTTTTCTCTTTCTTCAACGAGCTGGGTTTCAAGACCCTCCTTCGCTCTTGCTATATCTGTCACAGTTTTCTTCAGCTCAAGTAGAGCCCTTTCCTGCATCTGTTTATTAGACTCATTTGCTTTCCTTTGCAATTCAGTTTCCTGATGCATATTTTCTAGTGTCACTTTTTTCCTGTCAAGTTCCTCTGCAAGACTCTCAACATTATCTCTATCTTTCTTAAGTTGGGTTGTTGCTTCCTTAAGCTTCTGTCTTTCATTTTGTGTCTCTACTTTAATCTTTTCAATGTCTTCAGCTTCTCTTTTTAGATCTGATTTTATCTGCTCAATCCTGTCTTTCTCATCCTCAATCATTTGTTTCTGAAGCTTAATATTCTCCAACTCTTTCACTACATCAAGCTTTGTTTGTTCCAAAGTATCCATGTCTGTTTTTATGCTTTTCCTGCAGTTGTCAATTCCTTCCTTTACATCACACATCTCCTTTCTGAGCAGCTCTAACTTTTCACTCTCCATTTTTAGTTCTTGCCTCAAATTTACCTCCATATGTTGTTTTTGATTCTTCAAATCTCCCTTTTCTCTCTCAATATCATCCCTCTCCTTTTTAACCTGTTCTTTGGTTTCATCTGTCTCTTTTTTCTGTTTATCTATTTGAGCTTTAATGTCTTTCAGCCCACTCTTCTCTAGTGCAGTCATCACCTTCTGCTCATCTATCTCTGTTTGCTCTTTCTGAATTTCCATTTTTACACTTTGCAGCTCTGCTTGTTTGTATCTTGTTTGTTCAGTGTCCTTTTCTAGATCATCTCTCTGTTGTGATATGTTCATTCTTAACTGCTCAAGAATGTGTTTCTCTTTCTGTATCTCTGCCAATGTTACCTCATTTTGTCTTTTATGTGATTCAATTTGATTCTCAAGATCTTCTTTGGCTCTGGCTATCTCTGCTTTAGTTATCTCCAGGTCAGACTTGTCCTTTTTAAGAGTGTCTCTATCAGATTCAATTGTTTGCTTTTGTTTTCTTAGATCTCCTTCCTCTGATCTTGTCCTGGCAAAAGAAATCTCTATATCTTCCTTTTCTTTTTGAAGTTCGATCGTCATTTCCTCAGCCTTCTGCCTGCCATTTTCTATGCCTTGCCTTAGTTTAGCAATAACTTCCTTTTCTTGTTGGAGCTCATTTTTCATCTTATCAAATTCCTGCTTTTCTTTGCCAGTCAATTGTTTCTGGTAGTTTAAGGTCTCAAACTCCTCAGCTAAGATGGTTCTATTTTCTTTTATATCCTCTAGATCTTTGTTCAGTATTTGCCTGCTGTTTTCAATAGATTCTTTTTCGCGGAGAACTTCTTGTTTCATCAGCTCCACTGTTTCACTTTCCCTCTTCAGTTCTTCTGCAATGCCATTCACTTTTTGTCTTTCTTCCATTACATTAGTCCTCTCTTTTTCAAGTCTGTCCATCACATTCTCTAATGCTCTCTTTTGCTTTTCCATTTCAGCCTGTCTTTCACTAAGCTGACTCTTTTCTTTCAAGATAACATCCTGAATCTCTTCTATTTCTTTCTGTTGTGCATGAAGTTGTGATGTACGTATATTCAGGTCATTTTCTTGGTGTCTCAAACTTTCCTTCACTTTTTTAATACCATGTTCCTCTTGTGAAATGTTCATCTTCATTTGATCAAGGGAATTTCTCTGTTTCTCCATCTCTGACCGATCAATATCATTCATTTTTCTCTTTTCAGCAAGATCATCGTTTGATCTAGCTATCTCTCTTTTGCTTTTGTCCACTTTAAACTTCTGGTTTTCTAGTATATCTTTTTCAGTCTCAATGTCTTGCTTTTGCTTTTCTAGCTCAAGGCGCATCCTCTCCAGAACTTCTTTTCTGTCATTTCCCTCATGTTGAATTTGAACTGCCATGTCTTTTATACTCTGCTTTTCAGCTACCACCTCTTTCTTTATTCTCTCAGTATTGTCAGCCTCTTTCTGAAGGTCAGCTCTTACCTGCTGTATCTCTTTCTCAAACGATTGCCTCTGAAACTGCAAGTTTTCAAATTCTTTGTGCAGTTTGGCTTTATTTTTCTCTATGTCTTCCTCATCCATTTCTAGTGATTTCATGCGGCTTTCAAATACTTCTTTTTGCTCAATTAAATATCTCTTTTGGTGCTCCACATTTTCATATTCCACCCTCAGTTCTTCTCTCAAATTCTCAATTTCCTGTCTCTCTTTCTCCAGATCTGTCGCGTCTCTATCTCTTGCAGTCTTAACGTGTTCTATTTTTTCATGTGTAACTGTCCATTGTTGATCTTGGTCAGCTTGCATCTGCTCAACTTGCATCTTTTCCATTCTTAAACTGCTCTTCAACTCATCGATTTGTTTTTGTTTGTTTTCAATCTCTGCTGCTTTTTGTTTCAGTTCATTTTCTCTCCGTCTTAAATTTTCTTTATCACTTTCAACCATGCACCTTTGATTTGATATGGTTTCACTCATCTGCGCAAGATTGTCTCTTTCTTTCTCTATCTCTGCCAGTATAATAATGTTCTGTTCGTTTTGCTGAGCAAATTCATCTTTGAGATCTCTGAGCTTAGACTTTTCCTGTTCTAGCACATCTCTCTCAGACTCAGCATAACGCTTTTCTTTTTCAACCTCCATGCGCATCTCATCCAGTGCTTTTGACCTCTTTTCAATCTCTTCAACCAGACTATCAGTGTATTGTCTTTCTTTTTGAATTTTGGCTTCCATGTCTTTAACGTGTTGTATGTCATTTTGAACAGCTTGTCTTAAATTTTCAATGACACTGGCTTTTTTTTCCAGATCAGCCTTCATGCCTTTCAATATCTCAAATGCTTTTTCCTGCTTTTCTACATCAGCTTGCATTTTATCCAGGTCTTCTCTCTTTCTTTTTGTCTCCTCCGCAAAGCTCACAATGGCATCTCTCTCTTTCTGAAGTTGCACAGCAGTGTTTTTAAGCTTCTGTCTTTCAGCTAGTGTATCTTGTCTTAGCTTCTCTGTATCTTCAGCTACTCGTTGCAGCACAGATTCAGTCTGTTCCAACTTGCTTTTCTCTTCTGCAATACTTTGTCTTTGTAATTTTATCTCCTCTGCCTGACTACCCAAATTGATTTTCTTCTGCTCCAGATCTTCTATATCTCTGATTAAAGCTATTCTGCAGTCCTCAATAAGTCGCTTCTCATTTAGTATCTCTTTTTTCACAAGCTCCACAGTTTCTAGTTCTCTGTTTAATGCATCTGTCAAGTTGCTCTCCATCTGCTGCTTCTGTTCCATTATAGCCGCCCTTTCTCTGTCAAGATTGTCTTTTTCATTTTGTGTGACCTGCCTGATGTCTTCCACCTGTGTTAGCTTTTCGGCTATTTCATCTTGGCTTTTCTGAAGTTGACTTTTTTGCATTACAACTATATTCTGAATATCCAGCATGTATTTTTGTTGTCTGTTAAGATCAGCCTGCATTTGCTGCAGTTCATTTTCTCTTTTCTTTATTTCCTCCACCTCATTCTCAAAATTATCGTTTTTCTGTAAAATGAGTTCATTTATTTTCTCAAGAGTGTCTCTCTCCTTTTTGATCTCCTTCAGTGTCAGCTCATTCTCCTCTCTCAGGTTCCCTAGATCTTTCTTTTCTCTGGCTATTTCTGCTTGTATTTGTTGCATATCACACATTTTCTTTTCTAGCTCTTCCCTCTCTTGTTTAAGCTGCTCTGCCCATTTCTCCATGTTCTGTCTTTCTTTCTGCACATCCTGGTTTAACCTTTCAATATCACTAGACTCTTTTTGCAGCTCATATTTCATGTTCTGTAACATTCTCTTTTCATCCTCTATCCTTTTTCTCTGAGCTTCTATGTCTTCTAGTTCTGTAGCAAAAGTGTCTTTTAGGTCAGCCTCCATGGTTTGGTTTTGTTTTTCTATATCCTGTCGAATGTGATTTAGGACATGTCTCGCATTTTCTAATTCTGTTCTTATCATGTTGTCTTTTTCTTTGCTTTCTGTAATCTCAGCCTGCAGGTCATCCCATCCTTTCTGTATTTCTAGCTTTGTCTTTTCCAGCTCATATTTTGTTCGTTCTAGCTCCTGTTTTCGCAGCTCTAATTGTAACTCTATGTCTGCTGTGTTTTTTGTTGCAGTTTGTAGTGCGGCTTCTTTGAGTGAAAATTCATCCTTGCTCAGTTTTATTTCTGCCAGTTGTCTCTCAATTGTACTTTTTTGTGCAAGTAAGTCTTCTTTAAAATTCTCCAGAGCTTGTCGCTCTTTATCCAGCTCCTCCATAGTCAAGATCATCTGATATTTTCCTACATCCTCCATCACATCAGTTTGGACTTGTACATCAACTTGTTTAATCTCCATCAATCTTGCTTTTTCCAATTCACATTTCTCTCTCTGTAGATTTACTTCCATACTCTCTAGTTCTTGTTTTCTTTTATCTAGCTGCTCCTTCTCTTTCCATATTATATCTGAACCTCTCTGGTTTTCTTCTCTCTCTGATTGCAGCAGTCTTTCCCAGTTTTGTAGACTCACTCGTTTCTTTTCCATCTCTATTTCCATCTCTTGTAATTTTGTCATCCTCTCTTCAGCTTCATTCTTTACCGCTCGTACATCCTCCTTTGTTTTCTCTAGTTCATGTTTCTCTTTTAAAATTATTTCTTTATATTGTTCCAGTTCTTGTCTTTCTTTCTGTACATCACTCACAAAGTCTTCCACTTTAATGGCAGCTGGTTCTTCTGTTTTTGCATACTCCTGGCTCTCGGTTGGAATGATGGCAGGCTGAACCTGAAATAAATGGTTCTTGTTTGCATTTGCATCTCTGTCCCAATATTTTTTTTTAGATATACAATGTGTACAGTATTCAGTTATTCTGAACTCTTTGTCTAATTCTTTTTCTCATTTCACTCAAGATTGTCATGTTTAACATCCTTGTAAAATAGGTTATGGATGCTTCATGTTGACTTTAAGAGTCCATTTGCTGCCGACAATATTGATAATGCAGATAATATAATGACACATACAGTGGGGCAAAAAAGTATTTAGTCAGCCACCAATTGTGCAAGTTCTCCCACTTAAAAAGATGAGAGAGGCCTGTAATTTTCATCATAGGTATACCTCAACTATGAGAGACAAAATGAGAAAAAAAAATCCAGAAAATCACATTGTAGGATTTTTAAAGAATTAATTGATAAATTCCTCGGTAAAA